TCACATTCTCCGTAATGGAATTACTGGTGGTTTATCAAATGTTCAACATAGAGTAAATCTTAAAGGAATCACGCACATTAATAAACTTTCATATAATCCAGAAACTAAAACTGTATCAAATGAGGACACCACCAACATCATGACTCATTTCGTTGGTGTTGACTTTAATTCATTATATCCTTCATCATTTTCATCTAATCCTCATGATTTCATTCAATATACTGACCATAAAATGTATATGCCGGGAAGATTGAATGGTGTTATCATTTGTGATACAGCAACAAAGAAAGCAAAAGCACTGGGAATAATTAAGAAGAAAAATACTTTATTCGTGGCTGAAGTAAAGGGTCACATTGATGAAAAATACATTAATGATTACATAAACTTTTTACCGATAATAAGAAACTTAGATATTATCACAGATGAAAAAACAATTGGCAGTTTTATGTATAATTACATGAAATCAAACAATTACCAGTTGACCAGAAACAGAGAAAATTAACTCAGTTAGCATCAACACACAACCAATATCAACCATTTTCTTCTTATTATCTTTGGTATCTAATCGACAGATTTCATTTTATCATCGATGACATTCAATCAATTTTAACATTTACGAAAAACACTTGTTTTAATGAATTTGCGAACAAATTTATGAACGAAAGACAAAAGGCTGAATTAGAAGGAAATAAAGGAAAAAGTTTATTTTGCAAGATTTCACTTAATGGATCATATGGTTACGATGCAATGAATACACAAAATTACACAAAGACTAAAATAATGAATGCACAGAAGGCACGCGTTGCATGTATGGCAAATAAGTTTAAAAACATAAGAGAAATAGGTGAAGATACATATCAAATGATGCTCAAAGATAGATTTTATAGATGTGAAACATGTTTACAAGAGGCATTCTTCACTTTAGATAATGCTAAATACTGGTATTTGGTTTTCATTTATGATTTTATGTATAAATGCATGAATGTTAATCGTTTTCATTTCATTGAAGGTGATACTGATTCATCTTATTGGGCAATCGCTGGTGATCCAAATCTTCCTAACACTCAAGCATTTCAAGCAATTGTAACCGATAAACAATTTTATGATAAAAACATTTACAAATTCGCACCTTTTGATTTCTTTTGTTTTGATGAGAAATTTAAACCTAAATTAAAGAATAAAGCTGAAGAAAAAGCACATGAGAAAAAATTATTGGGTTTAGCAATTGAGAAACAAGGCAATAACATGGTTGCTTTATGCCCTAAGTGTTATACATCATTCAACGGTTCAATTGATGGAAGTGATTTTAAAAAGATTGCACAAAAAATGAAAGGAGTTAGTTTACGACAAAATAAACAATTAACACCTAAAAATTATTTGGATATAATAAATGATAAAGTGATATTTGATGGTCAGAATATTAATTTACAACTTAAAAACGGGTCAATGACTCGCTTAACAATCGGTAAGACTGCATTAACAGGAGCACACACTAAGGCTGTATGTTGTGAAAATGGATGTTGTATGCCGTTTATTTAATGAAATGCCACAGAAGAGACAAAAGGAACCGTTGAATGATGGTTTTGATTCTTGATCAGAGGTGGGCACCCTTAAAACATTTATTTTATTTTTATATAAATGGATAACGTAGATTTAGAAAATTTAATTGATGATTTAGTACGTGATCAAAATTTTCTTAGTTATTATGATTTAAAAGCATATCTCCAAAAATATGATGAAAATATAACGGATGATGATATAGATTATTATTATTCATATTATGATAATGAATTTTTGAAATATCATGATGAAATAATTTCTAAAATTAAAGATAAAATTAAAAATAATGAATATACAAAGGAAAAAACTAAATCACAACTTAAACATTTGAAAGATTTCAAAAAATGAAGTATTAACAGAAATATTGATGAATTATATAAATTATATAATCCTGAGCCACAAAAAACAAAGAAACAAAACGCCCGGGTCCTTCAGACCAAAAATGATGCACAAGCTTTAATTTATGATTCATTAGTTAAACCACATTCAGCCCAACTTTTAAATAAAGATCAACTTTTGGAATTCATCCTTCAACATAAACTCGAAGCAGGAAAGTATATCAAACCTTTATATACAGCATATTTAAAACAAATGAATAGAATACATCCGGAATTAATGAAGGAGGGAATGAATTCCAAAACTTCATCATCCAAAATCAAAGCAGATAAAATTAAACCACTCACAACACCAAAACCTCCAGCAGTAGTACCCTCCAGCAGTAGTACCTCCTCCTTCAGTTAATCCTTCATCATTCACTTTATTATATCCATTTCAAACATTAAAGAAACAAAAAGATTTTAAAAAGGGTTTCAAGATATTAAATAAACCAACTGACCCAAAAATTCAACCGTTAAAGGAAAAATTTAGTCGCCCTTCATTTGCACCATATCCATATTCATACGAAATCGATCATTTAGAATATTCAAAAGGAAACGTTACTTATTTATTTGCCATTAACATTAACACAAGATATTTATATTGCATTCCGGTGAATGGGAAAATAGAACAGGAAACAAGAAGAGCTATTCAATACTTACTAGATCATGAAAGAGTAGATAATATCAGGGGTGATAGTGATAAAGGATTTCAGGCAGCTATGGCTCATTATTTCCCACAAATTAATTTTTACTTTTCATCCTCTCCATATACGTTTCATAATAAAATAGTTGATGCGGTAATGAGAACTCTTAGAGATGCGTTAGGGGTTAACGGTCAGATATACTGCGATGGAAATCATGACTCCATCATACAGCAGTTAGTATATTATTACAATAATACATGGCATAGAACTATAAACATGAAACCAGTGGAAATGAAAAATGATATTTCAAAAGAATGGGAATATATTAGAAAGCAAATGGAAAGGTTGAATGATGTTAAACGTGAACAAATTAATTCGGGGCTCATGAATTTTAAACAAGGGGATAAAGTTTTGATTCATCTCGATTATGGAAAAACTGATAAATCAATGATAAAAAGAAGACGAAGATTTGACACAATAGCTGAATTTGTTAGATATATTAACGGTAATGTATTAGTTGAAGTTGACAATAAATTAATAGAAATTCCGATTTATTTTATTACTCCATTATATTTAAATAATATTTAATTTTTTTATTTCGTAAGAAATGAGTGACAACGAAGCAGCCAAGAGTCCAGACGATGAATATAAAAAGAAACTAAACAGAATTAAATCAAAAATATGCTATTACAAAAAGAAGCCACAATGTGGTGAGGTTGAAAACGATCAAGAGAGGAAAGAAATAATCGAAAAATTAAAAACTTACCGTTCAATCCTTAAACTGAGTGAGGCAAAAATAAAAGAATTTAATAGAATAAATAAATTGATTGGAAGAGATGAATTTAATAAAGATGAATTTTTAAACTCAATCCAAATTTAATTTTTATTTTTCTTTGGTACACGTCATCTTTGACCGAACGAATGAGGCGAAGTTGTTTGTTATACTGTATGTACTCGTATTCTTCATTTATGGCTTCATGAACGATAGTAGTTGTTGTGTTCTCTGATGTTGACATTACTGTCTTTACATACAAAATAAATAAAACTAACTTTATTTTCTGACTTTCACAAAAGACAAAAATAAACGCTTTACATGTATTTTTCAGCAACTTCGTCAAATAATTTTATAGCTTTATCTATCTCATCTACTTCAAACGTTTCTTTACCTTTCGTGGGAGCACCATACATTTTCTCAAAAACTTCAAGCAGTTCTGTTTCAGCAGCTCTCATATCATTAACAAACACAACCTTGACTCTATTGACTGTACTGTCATATCTTTGAGTTATATTATATGTCCTTCCTATCTTATATCTTTTTGTGTTGAAGTCCTTCGGTTTCTGAACGATGTAAAGTAAGCCTTCACTGCAACGTTCCGTATCGAATGAACCATATGTTATGAAGTTATATCCAACAACTGGGTCTAACCATAACAAAACTATTGGTATAAGACTTTTGTCTATAAGATATGCTCTTGTTCCATGAAATGCTACTGATATCATAAGCTCAGGATTTCTTGTCAAAATTTTCTGAGTTGAAGCATTTCTAACCCAGTCGTTTGTTTTCTTTTCAGATGGAGATATAATGTCTGACAAAGAATATTTGTTGTATTTCTTTGAGTATCTTACGTTTAAATCACCTATTCTAACCACTTTGGTGTCATCGTCTATCTTTCTAACTGTTTCAAACTCAATGTTTGTCATTACTGTCTTTACATACAAAACAAAAAAAGATATAAAAATAAAATTAGCGTCAATGGTTTTCTAACTAATGAATTATTTTTGAAGAACTGAAGGTGTCACTATGTCACTATGTGTCACTCGGTAATTTAACTTCTCTGAAAAATAGTGACAACATGACATTTTGACAACATGACATTTTGACAACATAGTGGGATTAATGAGGAAGGCATTATTCATTATTTTTGAAGAACTGAAGGTGTCACTATGTCACTATGTGTCACTTGGTAATTTAACTTCTCTGAAAAATAGTGACAACATGACATTTTGACAACATGACATTTTGACAACATAGTGGGATTAATGAGGAAGGCATTTATTCATTATTTTTGAAGAACTGAAGGTGTCACTATGTCACTATGTTGACGACATGACATTTTGACAACAACACGAGAGGAAGGCATTTATTCATTATTTTTGAAGAACTGAAGGTGTCACTATGTCACTATGTGTCACTCGGTAATTTAACTTCTCTGAAAAATAGTGACAACATGACATTTTGACAACAACATAGGAGGATGGCAATAATGAATTATTTTTGAAGAACTGAAGGTGTCACTATGTCACTATGTGTCACTCGGTAATTTAACTTCTCTGAAAAATAGTGACAACATGACATTTTGACAACATGACATTTTGACAACATAGTGGGATTAATGCAAAAATAAATTCAAATCATACTTTATAAAGCTTCATTTACAGGTATTTCATCGTCAGTAAATGAATCCTCATTATCGTTTGGTTCAACCTGTTTATATAATCCTTTCATTTCTTCTTTCAAAACATAATACCATGTCTGTTTACCATCTATTCTTCTCTGTTTCTTATCACATTTATCTTTAATGCTCATTTGAAAATTCTTGTCTTTCATGTCTGATGGTTTGCAGAATAAAGCATTTTCACACGTCATACCTGCACACAATTCATCATAATGTGTATTTATCCATACATCTAAAGGATTTGATGATAATTCAATTAAATCTTGTTTGGCTTCAGTCATCGGAATGATTCGTACATTAAATGATGAAAGGTCGTAATTGATAAAATACGTCAGTAAATTATCATAAAATTCCTTTGTGCATGAATTCATCAAATCCTTGAAGTAATCAAATTGACCCTTAAATTTACCATTAACTCTTAAAACTACATATCTTCTGTCTCCAACTTCAATTTTGACAGGGTAGACGTTATTAGTTACGAAAATGAAGTTTGCAACGTTTGAGCAGTTCTTCTGGGTTGATTCTTTTCATTAATTCTAATCTCATTATCCGTTATAATTGATTTCAAAGCGTTGAAGTTTGCGAGTCTGTCTTCACCAACATTCTTGAGTTCATTAAGTACAAGAAACATTTTATTCTCAACTACTGAATTAAAATTACCCGTTAACTCACTTATTTCAGTAATGTTTTTGCATGAATAACCGGCAAGAAGTTCAGAAATAATGTCAGTGAATCTGTTTTTACCTGTTCCCTGAAGTCCTTTCAAAATAATTGCTGTTTCATTCTTGATTCCAGGATGTTGAATCATTGATGCAATCCAGCCGAGAAGGTATTTATACACTTCATCGTTATTATCACAAATGGCTTCTTTAATGAAATTCATAAACATCTCAATTTTTGAGTAATCAGGCTTTTCGAGAATGTTGTATTTATAACCTTGAAACGTTGAGAAAACATCGGGGGAATCAGATTTAAAGCAAACACCCTTAACGGTTAATGAAGATAATTGATTTAATAGTACATCCCATGCTGTTATTGTTTTACCTTCTTCATTAAATAATTTAATCATTTTAAGTGACTCTTTCATGTTTGATTGAAGAACGAATGATATTTGATTCATTTTGTTGTGGATATTATATTCCTTTTGAATGAAATATTTATTTCCACAATCTACAAAACGGATTACACGTGATAAATCCTCAGTTACTTCAGAACTGTTTTTATACTGATGATTTTCAGCCTTGCGTCTAATATCTGTTATCAAAAACGAGTCATCAAGTTTGATATCAAATGTTATTTTTGGCTTACGTAATAAAGGTAAAACATATTCATCATAATATTCCTTTTGATATAGTTTTAGAATCTTCACCAAAACAAATGGAGAAGTCATTAAATGTGCATATCTATTACGTGCTTTATCAAAATTACTTTTTGCATTTTCTGTTAAATTGCAGAAGTTATAAACGTTATCGTATGCTTCATTAATTAAATGATTAGGTAACGAATTAATAGCTTGAAACAGTGTGAATAATGTTATTTCTTTTTCTAAATTCATGTTTCCACCGTCATTATGTACTTCAAAATCACAGATGCCATCAACTATGCTTTGAGCTAGTTTATCGTCAATGTTTACATCTTTGTTTTCATTGACGATGGTCTTTATTTCTTCGTTCTTCTGTTCAACTTTTACCTTAATATTCAAATCATTTAATATATCATTCACTGTTCTAGTTAATGTTGAATCATAACTTCCACGAATGAATGAGTATGTTTTGATTGGTTCTGTTGCATTCTTGCGAACTCTTGAATCAGCCATAACCACTAATGAACGCTTTGAATCATCCATAGAAGTCATGATATCGATATCATAATCATTGCAGGAATAACATTTAATCATTCTGTTCGAAACTGCATAGAAGAAATTAGTGTTGCAATAAATGTGAAGACCTCCTGAAGCGGTTTTAACGATAACATCTTTATCCGAAAGTTTTGATAAAATATCTTTTCTAACTGTTTCTTTAAGTTCATCATTGTACGATTTATTGATATCAACATCTATAATCGTTAAATTTGATATTTTATTTACTAATAAAGCCATACCAGTTTTCCTTCCTCTTCCTCCATCGTATTTGAGGTAGTTATGTAAATCAATCTTGTTTTCACCAATTCTTTCGTTGAGGGTTTTAGTTTCTGCCATAACTAATTCCTCAACTAATGAATCAATAACTTTTTCATCAGAAACGATATAGTTGCTGTTGTTGTTTGTTGCCACAACTAATTCCTCAGCTAATTCCTCAACTAATGAATCAATAACTTTTTCATCAGAAACGATATAGTTGCTGTTGTTGTTTGTTGCTGTCATTTATATAGGAATAAAAAAATAAAAATAATTTTAAAACTAACTTTATTTTTGCATTAATCCCACTATGTTGTCAAAATGTCATGTTGTCAAAATGTCATGTTGTCACTATTTTTCAGAGAAGTTAAATTACCGAGTGACACATAGTGACATAGTGACACCTTCAGTTCTTCAAAAATAATGAATAAGTGCCTTCCTCATTAATCTCACTATGTTGTCAAAATGTCATGTTGTCACTATTTTTCAGAGAAGTTAAATTACCGAGTAGCAGTGAAATAAAATTTTGTTATCAGTTATTTTATCATCGTTTTATTAAGTTCATCTTTAGTTAATAATTTGAATGGATTCGCTAATGTTCCACCTTGAGTCACATCACCTGCCCTGACTAATTGTGAAGAACCTGGGATAATTACTCCACGAAATGATTTCATTGGTATCATTAATTTAGAAATAGTTGGCTTAATTAATTTTGTCATTTATGATAAAAATAAAATTACATAATTTAAATTTTTTTCTTTCTCATTTTTTTCCTGTTTTGGTTTCAGTAACTTTTCAAGTTGTTGTCTTGTCAGTAACTTTAATTTTAACTTTGGATCAAATATTGGGTTTCCATCTTTATCTCTTCCGATAACACCATATGGTAGAATCTTTATTTATACTAAAATAAAAATTTAAATTATGATGTTCGCTCTTTTGGAGCTCCTAAAGTTTGTTTCACAAACATTGAGCGTTCATTGAACTCTATACCATGCGTAAACTGTCATGTAAGGTGGCATGTAGTCTTTACTTTGTCCCGTTGTTTGTGTATATCCTGAAACGAAATGTGTATGGTTTCCTTCTCCCTGAGTGTCATCCCAGTAACAATTTATAGCAAACTTAACGTCATCTTTAACATCATATCCTTTACCTTTTGTCATTCCTGACCAATCCCAATATCTATGCTTATGCCAACCCGCTTGAGATGTACTTAAATCTATGTAGTGACTGTGTGCAGGTAAATTTTCACCTGTAATCGTTTTACTTCCACCCATTTCCTTTGAAGAGTTTGCACAATACAAAAACCTGTCGACTATTTGTTCCATGCACCAACACCAAACATTACTTGAGGACCTCTTGCATCCATAGACGTATAAATAGAACCTACTGGGTTCATTAAATCAAACATATGAGATAATATGGATTGTCTCTTTTGAACTTAAAATATAGTGCAACTATTTCAGGTTCTTCTGGTTTGTGTCGGAATATTTTTTATAATATAATCTTATGTTTTCAGGGTAGGTAAAATCTTGACTATAATATTTATTTTTGTCATCTATATAATAATATACTATTCTCGTTTTTTCTATTGCATTATATCTTTATATCTATAATAATCTAAATATAATGTTAGCTTTTGTTCATCTGCATGTGGTGTTCTGACGTCATCTCCATAGTCATAATAATATGGTGCTGGAGCTAGGTTAGACAATGTCATATCTGTCATTTCATAAAACTCTTAAATATTTCTTTTGTTCGTCTCCATATAAGTTTAAGTAACAGTTGTTGTCTAATGGAACTTTAACTTGTGTACCATTATTCTTTTATATAGCTTACATACATTTCATTGTTATTTTCGGAATGAGTTTAACACCGCATACCAATTTCTTAAGGACTGTACAAACTGCCATCTAAAATATTTATTTTCTTCATGACAGAAAAGTCACCAACAATAGTTTCAATATTTTCAGTTGTTCCTATCAAACTTTGGTATATTCCATTAACATATTCATTATCTGCCTTCTTCTCTAACTCACTGTTGACATATTCCTTATCTGCTTTAAGGTCTAAACATCCTGAAACCCACCCTGTATCAGCTTTAGTTTTTAAAATCTTTGATGCCCATTCATGATACCTTTCAACCCTTTCTTTAATTTCATTATCTTTTTCATTAACATATTCCTTATCTGCCTTCTTCATTAACTCACTAGCCACATATTCCTTATCTACCTTCTCCTCTAACTCACTAGCCACATATTCCTTATCTGCCTTCTTCTCTAACTCACTAGCCACATATTCCTTATCTGCTTTCTTCATTAACTCACTAGCCACATATTCCTTATTTGCTTTCTTCATTAACTCACTAGCCACATATTCCTTATCTGCTTTCTTCATTATGTCATTTAGGAAACCTTTTATGAATTCCTCATTTAAATTAAATCTTCCAATCTTCAAAACTTTAGGAAATGCATTTAATGCGTAATATCTTTGTTCTTCTGGTGGAATTGATGTTATATCATCCGTTATTCCTTTAATTTTTGAATTCATAAATAAAATTTCTTTTATATTTGATATCACTGCACCACCTTTGCAAACGAATTCGAAACGCTCATTTTTCAATACTATCTCCAAATCTCCATATTTCAACCTTTGTGTTGTTCTGCTGTCTTTGAATTATATGCATATATGGCGTATGTAATGGTTTGAAGGACCTGGGTGCTTTGCGCCTTAAGTTGCTGTGTTTGCTGTTGTTTAATCATTTATTATGATTTAAAAAATAAATATTTAATCCGTTATCTCATCAGCTATTTTTTCTATTTGAAATTGCCATAATATTTCATTCATAAATTCTAAATCACAATCAAATAGGTCAGTTATTCTAAATTTAATATTTGATAAATCTTTTGAATGAAGAATAAATGAAATTCCCGGATAATTGAAACGGATATGATAAAGAAAATGTGTTTAAGTGATGGATAAAATGTTTTGTATTGATGGGTAAGAGTTAGGGTCTAATGTTTGATGTGAAAATCTCATTGGGTATTAACTTTATCACATTTGATTAAAAATGAAATTGGAACCAGTGTCAGAATACAAAACATCCCCATCATCTTTTCAAAATTTAATATCCCAACAATGAACGAAGATGAGGAGTACAAATTTAAT